GGGGGGGGACAACACCAGAATAACACGAAATGAAGGCTGAGGCTGCGCCTAAGTCCCTAAACTGCCAATTGCTGGAAGTTTCTCTTCTGCAAGTGCCTACTACAGGTCCTGAAAGAAAACCATTATTGCACTGACTGACTCAGTGCAGCACAAGCTGCTCCTGTTCTCCTACAGGGAGGGTTCTTTGGGAAGGTGCCACCCTAATTTATCTACAGAAGATTAATATTCTTGAGAAAGCCATCACTCCCATGCAAGAGAGAGAGACAGAGGCAAAGATGATCTAAGAAAGAATATTTTTGGCGCTTTTCTCATTCCCCTAGGTAGAAGCATACATTTATTTAACTTAAGCAGAGCTATTCAGTTATAAGTAAAGAAAATAGGTATTGCTGCATACCGGTCTGCACCCATGGCAACCTCATTTCAACTTGAAAGTAACAGCAAGCACCAATCTCACTTAATTTGCACGTGGCCAGTCACACCCAAACTTACCGTAGCTGCTTGGAGTTGCTCTGGATGTTCTCCAGCTGATCGACTTCTTTGGAAAGCCTAGCAATTTCTTCTTCCAGGTTTTTCTGGGTAATATCCACCTGCTGACACAGCCTAGCAAAGGTAGTGGCCATTTCCCTAGAGGGCAAACAAGTTTGTAATCATGGTTTAGAGAAGCCTGTGCTACCAAAAAAAAAAGAAAAAAGTCAAGAATAAAAATAAATACATTTAAAAAAAACAAAACCACATGGCACTGCAGCAGGCAGTAGAACACAGCAGTCAAAGTCTCCAGTTGCCAAGGGATTACAGAACAGCGGAAAGCAGAACAATGTATTTTTTAAAAAATAAAAAAAGAAACTTTAAACATACAAAATGCACCTTCAGTCTCTGCCAACATCACGTCTGGCAGTTTTTCGTTAAGCATCAAGAGGTGCAGGTCTGAGATGGGCACTCTGGCGGTAACACGTGCGGGAGCAGCCAAGAGCCCCCGAGTGCAGCGCTCCGTGCTGCGCCAAGCACCCTGCTCATGGGGAACGTGAGCGCTTTGCGGGGTGAGGAGCACTCCAGACTTGCTGAGGCACCTGATCCTACTTGCCCCTCAGCCACGTGCTCCCAACCTGAGTTCCAAGATTCCTCCTTACACAAAGAAAAAAAGCCCAGTTACCACCCTGAGTGAGCAACCAGGCTCACCACAGGAGAGGGGTCTCCTCTCCTCTCCACCTCACTGGAGCTTCAGTTTGAGTCCAGCTCCTCCATGTCCTCACAGACACACACAGCTGGTGGACGATGAGGGTAATTCTCTTTCCTCTGCTAAAGATGATCTTGGTATTAGTAAAGCACTCCCTGGGCTACACAGGAGAGGTGTTCTGCACCCTGTGGTTAGAGGTGTCATTTAGCAGGACTAATTTTCTGAAAGAATAGTTTAATGAAAACAAACCATTTCAATGGGAGAGGCTGAGGAGACAATCACCCAGACATTCCTTTGCAGAGACAGCTGGACAAGTATTTGGGGAAGAGATACACACACACAAAAAAAAAAATGCAACAGTCCAGACAGGCTCTTAAGTTCCTCTTCCGCAGTGCAGAAGGAGCCAGGACTGGCTGCTCAGAGCTTGCCCATGCCAACCCTCAAGGCAGAACAAACGTTCACCGCTCAAGTGACTCAGGGCCAATTCAATGCTAATCTAAAGGCAGAGCAATGCAGCCTCCACTAGAACTGAGCCAACTCCCACATCTCTCCTGTAAGGTGCTGGACAACAAGAGCGTACAACTTAGTCTAACTTTCACACATACACACAGACACATAGGTATCGATCTTTTTAGGTGGTAATTTCAAGCTCTTTTAAAACTCCCTCACAATAAATGCCAAGGGACACTCAGGCTACTTTCCCATGTCATGTGCAGGCAGTCCCCGTCCCCCGGACACCACAGTACCACACTGAAACGGGCTTCCTCCCCGCGTGAGGGGAAGCACCAGTGGGATACTTACTGTTGCACCTGGTGGCTACAATTAGCACTTGTAAGACTGACGATCTTCTGCAGCTTTTCTGTAGCATAATTTACAAACTGCTGTTTAAAGGCTCTCTCTTTTGCTTTAGTGGTCCAAGTTAGTCTCTCATAAAGATATAACAAGCCATACATACTTAAGGAAAGAGAGATGAGTTTCCAGCCTACTGTTCTCCAAATCTGGAAGAGAGGATTCTTCATTAGTTTAAGCAAGTTGCCCTTACCTTTATTAGAACAAAACCTAATTCCACCCATTTTCTTTAATGATCTTCATGGCCCTTTCAGCTGATTAATTTAAGAAAATATACTATTTCCTTATCATTACTGCAGAGCAATGCAGCCATATTCAAATGAGCTGGTACCCCAGTGGCACGCATAATATGCAGGTTACAGAAGCCTCGCTGCTTTTTCATGAAGGAGGAAGGAGAAAGCAAAGCTCCCACTAAATCCAAACTGTATGAGGCACCATCAAATCATCCTTTAATGCAGAAACTGAACACGGACATATGGCGCAGAAAATATGTCCAACTATCCTCAGAGTAATTAGACTAATTTTCTCACTACAAACTGATTGCGGGTATCCAGTGTACTACACACACTCATCCAGCCCAGTGCTGTTAAGTCCATTACAAGCTTCATGTTGCACCCCAAACAGGAAAGACCAGCTTGATCTTTGCCATCACTTCCAGTACAGTGAATGTTGCTAATACTACTTGCCACTCCGCCAACAACGATGATGCTCATAGAGGTCCGTGATGTCAGTGAAGCTAAACTCATTACCAAAGGAACCATAAAATCATCGTGCGATACGTTCTCTGGAGTTATGGCAGGAAGGCTGGCAGCAGACGGGGTGGTAGCTAAAGGACGAGGGATCTAGAAGAGTGGAATATGGCAGCCTGAGTAAAAAGCATTAAGGAACTACACAGCAGACTAGTTTTAATTTATTTTCATATATTCAGGGTTTGATTTACTTAAAAGAAAACTCTTCAGCACAGAAATCTGAACAATGCTCCTGATAAGCAGTCGAAGTTTTGACAGTTCCTTGTCCAACAGGGGACTGGGTTCGAGTAAGGGTTCTATATCAGACTGGCTCTGCCGTATGGACCCAAAAGTTACAAATAAAAAACATTACCCAAAGGGTTCGATCCAAAGGAAAACAGAACTCTGTTTAGGAAAAGTTTTTTGTTCCCTTCTAACCCTGAATATAATCCAATGAAAACAACCCCCACCAAAAATATTTCACACAAAGGGACTAGGGGAAAGTAGCAGCAAGCATAGTAGTAGAGGCAAATACAATAAAAATTAATATATTCTCATCAAGGTAAAGCAAGGCACTTAATGTCAGCACTCACTTGTAAGTTTGGGTCTGCTAGTCCCAACAGTACTCTCTGAGCTTGTTTAGGACCCAAGAAACGGTTTACAAGTGAAGTCCATCCCAAGGAAAAGCGGAACATGATATCTTCTTGAAAATCTGCACACAGACTATGACAGTTAAGATCATAGCTAAGGTCAAACCTCCTGCACGGAATTAGCAAGTGGAGCTGATTCTGAGCACCAGAAGGCAATAGTGGTTTCAGATTTTCTAGAAACAAAACAGAATAGTAAAGATGAGTTAACATTAAAAGCATTACAGCATATTCACAAGTAGCATCCTTGCACTGCTCAGCAGCTTTGTGAAGGGCAAGAGTCTGAACTGACCTATTTATTTATTTGTAAAAGTCAGTGGGCTTTTTAGCAGTATTGATCACAGCAGAGCAGGCAATTTACTGCTCTGATAAAAGAAAAGTCACACAAAAACAACTCCTAGAGAAAGCACTGCTGGAAAAAATGGTCAAATTAACTGGAAGACCTCTATCAATGGTCAAAAGTAAGGATGGACTACAAAAAAAGCTTGTTTATCCAGCAGTTCCATGGTGCCATACAGAAAAGGCAAAATTATGGCATAAGATGACAGAAGGCTTCAGGTAATTCCATGATCTTGATCTGAATCTTTTATTACAAGAAACAGATCAGAAAAGAGATACAGATATGCAATAAAGTTACTCCTTTAACAACAACAACAAAAAAAAAACTGGACTGCACAAATACTTTGTGAAATTATCCTGTTTTGCACTCAGAATCTGGAGGGACCTAGGCAGAGGATTATACTGCAGAAACATGATCTAACAATTCATGTATTTCATATATCTGTTGTGGAAGCCAGAAGTTTTAATAGGTTTATAAAAGGATTAGACCAGTTCCCAGAGGACAGGTCCATTACTACTTGCTTAAGCCATTAATCCAGATGTAGTATCTTGGCTCAGAAGCCCCTAAATAGGAGATGGATCACTACCCAGGTTCATTATTCTTCTCCCCAAGCATCTGTTACTGGTTGATATCAGAGACAGGCTACTAAGCTGAACAGACACTCACTCTTGATCTAGGATGGCTTTTCATTTATCATTTTACGGTGTTAATGTGAAATACCAAAGAAAATTCTTTTAAAAGCAGGTTTTCTTAAATTGTCTTCCTCTAGACAAAAAGTCTTAACATTCCTTCTTCCTCATCTTACCAATCATCTCCTGCTGCGACTGATGCATTGACTGATTGACTTCACTGGAGCAACGATCAGCCAGGTTCTTTCCCAAACCATCTTCTATATGTTTGTTCAGTTCCTGATTTATAAAGAGTATATGCTCATCAATTTATATTTAGATAATCAATTACATTATACAGAGCACAGATATGTTAAACACTAAGCACTGTTATTTACAGTGGGAAGAGAAGAATGTTACCATGGAAATACCATGCTTTTAAATTGCACACTGTGACTGAAAACCTAATTAAAGTGACTCAGGAAAGATTTCTCTAGGACTTTAATCATTAAAAAGCATATGGAAAAGTCTGTTTCTTTCAATAAACCGTGACACTGAGAAGCATACCACTACCATAATGCCCTGCAAAGCCTTTACTGTTGTCATTTGATGAGAGCCAATTTCACTGCTCTGCACAAAGATAAACCAATTCCATCAACTCCCATGGAGGTCAGCTCTGGACATTCTGCAGAGCCAGGACAGCACAGACTGTCCTGAACATGCAGCACTCTCAGCTGACCAACAAGGCTGAAACAGGTGGGAGTTACAGCAGGCATTCATTAGCACCAAAGTCTCAGTGTAAGAGGCAAGCACTTACAGGTGTATGCTCCTTTAAAACACTAAGGTCGAGGAGAAATTTATAGAAGTTTAAAAAAACTGCCTGTTTTCTTTTTAAAAAAATGAATTAAAACCCATAAAATTGTGGATATTTGCAAGCTTATTTTATTTTTGGATCTATTTCATTTTAGGAGTAGTGAAAATTGTTTATGTAAGGTCTTAATTTATTAGAAGTGAAGACTATAAATCAGAATCTCAGCTTCAGTAACCACTCTAGTAAAAAGACGGTTAAAACAAAAATCAACTTCTTTCCAAAAACAAAGCAGAAAATATTTTCAACGTTTTCCAGTTTTAGGTAGACAGAGATATGCATATGTCAGAAAGTAAAAATCCTGCAATGCTGAAATGAAGTGTCACATAAAATGCTACACAAATTATGAAAATACAGAAGTAGAAATTAAACAAAGGACAAGATCCTGGCTTTCAAACCATGCAAGAACACTTACTGTCTTATAGAGCTTCAACACTTGAGGAGAAGGGTGAAAATCTGAATAAAATTCATCAACTAAAACTGAAAGTCGGCAAATCTCATCAGTCATGGCAGAGGAGACCTGGAAGAATGTGGTAAATACATAAAATGTTTCTCCTGCCATTTCCAGCCAGAGTGAAAACAGACCACCGCATTAACTGTTATGATGATAACTGATGCAATTACCTGACAGTAGGAAGGATTGCCATTTTGAAAGTTTGGTGGTTTGTTTGGAGGGTTGTTGTTTGGTTTTTTTTTTGTTTGTTTTTTGTTTTTTGTTTTTTTGTTTTGTTTTGTTTTTATTGGAAAAGGAACAAACTAGACATTTCAAATGTACTTCATAACACGGGTGGGCACCTAAAGGAGCTGCCTTACAGAAGAGGCAATTGCATCAGGGAAATCTTTCACGCTGCCATTACTTACTTTATTTTCTACTTCCTCCGTAACATGTTTTATTTTTTCCTTAGTATCTTCTGTCAAAATGTTCAGCTGATTTCGAACAAAGTCCAGTCTATCCTTCTGATCTTCTCGCTCTTCCATTGAATGGACTCTAACACAGCAGAAAGGAAATCACCATCACCAGCAGGTATTCTCCCAGCAATGAAAGAAGCCCCACAAGCAGGTATGGACCACTCAGCTGATGGTTACTGAGCAGCCAAAAAGAATCCAAAGTGACACAGGCTGAACAAAGCAGAGGCACTGCTTCAGAATAACTACAATATAGACAGTAAATTTATAGGCACATTTAAAGGCTGCACTGATCAAACGTAACTCAAATTACTGGGTTTTGATGGACTTACAAAACCAGCATTTGGAGTTGGAATTGTTACCGTTGTACATAATTACAACTAAAAAAAGCGGGGGGAATCAGGGGCCTTTAATATTTAGTCTATCCCAATTTAAAAATTAAAAAAAGAAAAAGGATAAATACGATCAAACTGGCCTACTGCTGCTCACCAGCACCATTCAACTATTCCTTAACAGTGACATGGGTCTGATGACACTGCAAAGCAAAGCACAAACTAACCTTGTCACAATCAACTCTTTTCAGCAGCCCTTGACCTATCATTTAAGTAAAAATTGCTTAAAATCTACAGCAGTTATATCTTGACAAGTCAGCAGAAACATCAAACAGCAATTCAGATTAAGAGGGGTCACTACACAGGTTTTGGCAGGTCGACTGACAGAAAAAAGAATATCAGAGTATTTTCAAACATTTCACAGCATGTTTTCATAGGATCTGACAACGTGAGACAAGTTAGTATGTAAACATGGAGTTTGTAAAAGCTGATCAATTCAGGAAGATGAGTATATTTGACAGGCACAGTGGAGTCTGTTGAAACATAAGGACATATCATTAACAGACACAGAAAGGAGATGGATGGAAAGGATTAAACATGACAGCAAGTTCACGGTGTACAAGAGGTAGCAACAAAAATAAAGGGAGAAAAACATACATATGCAAACCTCAAAGAACATAGGAAACTATCAGACCAGATCAGCAGCTAACATTAGTACTAAAAGGACTAAATGAGCAAAGGGAGAATAATGATATTTAAGGATACAATCTGGAAAGGGCCAGAGGCCAAGCCTCTGTTAGCTGGGGCTCTTCCCTTACAGTATTCTAACCACTTTAATTTGCAAGTTCATCCTCCTATTTATTTTATTAGTGTTACTGTTAAAAAAAAAATAAATTACATAAAGCAGACCCAAACACCACTTCTGAAATGTTGGAAACAGCTACAAAAACTTAAAATTTCAAACAGTTTTGAAAAAAAAATAAATTGAAAACCCACAGACTGCCTTTGTAACTGTAAATCAGTAATGAAAAGTAACAAAATAAACCAAGATCCCTATACAGAAGCCACAGACCAAGGACAGGGCTGAGCAGTGCAAGTGAATAGTAGTTAAGACTGACACACTAGAGAAACTCTGTATTTCTTACCAAGTGAGAAAAGTGAATTTTTAAGTCCAGAACAGCCCAAGAAAATCACCAGCACAGAAATGGCTCCTCAGAGGATCGGGATAAACCAAAGCCAACCAGCCCTCCAACCAACCTACCTTTTCTCTGCTGCTGCTACGTTTATGGCGTCCATAATGTTTTTCACAGTATCTATTATCTGTTTAGCTCTGATAGTGTGCTGTTCAAACTTGGTTTTCACGGCTGACTGCGAGATACACTCCTGCGAGGGGCCCAAGCCACAACACATTACTGCAATTCCATGCCAACACATTCAGGAATTTCACTGTCAGAAAGCACATGCTGCTAATTTTACCATGAACTTAAAAACAATGGGAAATAAAAAGGGAGAAAGTATACAGAAATTAAAAGACAACAGAACTGAAATCTCAATGAGTCTATAGCAGCAAATCTGTACCTTCATGTTCATTCACAGTAATGTGCATAGGTTTTCATTCTTCTAAAATAAATTAATGAAGAAAGAAAAAAAACTCAGATGAATACATAAGATAAATCTAGCTCTTCAGAAAGTTTTCCAAACTATCTCTTTGGAATTACAAATGTCTAACATGAATGCTGGCAATATTGCCTGGCTTGAGTTTTCTTTGGTGCAATAAATATTCTTAGTCTAAAGAAGCAGTTCTGTCAATAAAATTCGGCATGCTCATGTCAATACTGGCCATCCAGGAACAACATACCCAATTAGGAGTAAGAAACAAGGATTCTCTCACAGGATACGAAAGTTGCTAAGTAGTCCTTAAAATACTAGCTTATTTGCAGATTATTGAAGTGCTAAATGAACAAGTAGAGAATGTTCTAAAGATACAACTCCTAATCAATCCTCAATCTTGACTATTGTACAGCGATTCAGAAGCTACGGGACATTGATTGAAGAGATATACAAATGTTCAATTTGGGCAAAACCAAATCAATTGTGATAAACCATAAATTAAGACTTCAACTTTTTGCAAGCAACTGCACATCGTGAGTTATGTAGCCAATTAAATGCTGTGGGAGTTCAACCTGTACTAAGTCACCACAAAGTAGCAACATCTGCGTTTGAGGGAAAGAATGCAAGCAGCTAGCTTCTTTACACCAGACCTACAGGTTTTTTTAAATTGTTCTCTATCTATGGATGCACCTTTCATAGCAGAAACAGCTTTAGGTTGCTTTGAACAGACTTGCTCTATAACCTTAGCATACATACTAATAACAAAGTTCAGCTATCTAAAAATAATAGATCAAACTAAAACAAAAAAAATGGGTAAAATATATTCCCTGTTCCTCGATGAAGCAGATCTAGAAATCAGCAATGAAATGCCAGAGTTTCATAAATATCAGCACATTGTAAGAGCTAGACTAGACACAGAGGAGTCTTCCCCATATTAGTATGCAGTAGATAAAAGGATGACAGTCACTCACAACACAATCAGAAAATCCAAGTTAGAGCACTAGGAAAAACACAAAGGTTAGTTAAATGACCAGGAAAGGTAAGAGGGGGACAGCAGCAGTTCTGCTGCTAGTCTGTAAATAAGTATTTATCGAAACAAAGAGAAAAGGTACGTTTCAACAGCGTAACCAAAACCAGTTACCTTCCAGCCCACTTCCAGTACAGCAAAACAGTCTTTAAGCGCACAGCTTACAACATTCTCGTGCAGTGTTAGGGAAGGACTCTGCAGTAGCATACTAATTCAGGCTCTCTTATTCACTCCAATTTACAGCCAGAATTACCATTCTGCCCTGCCTCCCTCCTCCCCACACCATTTCTGTTACCAGTTCTTTGAGAAAACTTGGCCAACACTACAACCTGAAGCATAGTGGGGTTTGGTTCTATGTAGAATTATTCACTAAGGACTACTGCACACAGTGTACTGTGCATGCACTTCTCTGCCATTTTGATAAGGCATTTCTACGATCTCATTGTAAAATTTCAGAAGAAAGATACACAGACTACTTTCTGTTATTCCACAACATAAAAATTCAGAATTGATCCACTAATTCAAGCCTGTCCTTTAAGACTGCGTATCTTTTTTTCTTTGTTGCAATGCAGCTGACATATACAGTAACATCACTTTTCAAAGCTACTACATGAATCTCTAAAACTTTAATTTCAGCACTGCTTATGAGTGTTTCTAGTAATGCCTGGACCAGTTTTTGTTTTAGGAACTTTAACCGCCCTGTGCTTTACAGAAAAACATGTTATGTCTATTTTTGGAATGCCTTTTGCCCTCACACACAGGTCTACCTAAATATAGTTACAAACCTTTCAAAAATGGTCCAAATTTTTCCTGTATCACAATAAACTAGCACTGATTTTTTTTTGTTTTATTTTTTAAAGATTCTACCTATACTGAGCTCATATCAGTCCTGGGATGAACAGGCTTTCCCATCAGGGAACTGATACTAAGATCAGGAATGTGGAAGTACTGGAGATGTAACAGTTCCTCTTCTAAGCCCAAGTGGAAAAGAGGAAGAAGCCAGCCAATTCTAGTGAAGACAAAAGCAGGGTGAGGGAATCCAGGAGGAACAAAGCCAGCAGATATAGCCAGTGGGAACATGGCACATGTGGGCTGATTTATAAATGGAGTGATGAAATAGCTTAGAGACGTGAACTGGACAAAAGAGCACAAGAGATGTTTGGAAAATCTGAGCAGGGCACCTGGACAGGGACAAGGAGCTAAAGGCAAGACAGACGGGCTGCAGCAGAGAAGGGGTCAGCATTTGACAAGGACAGACAGAAGCATCTGTGCTCTCATCCCTTCCCTTTCACAGACTGGAGTGCAATCCAAGAGTCTTGGGACTTGCAGCTCCTCTGTGAGGAAACAGAGTAAATGGAAAGCGCTTTAGCCAGAAGTGCTTACGCTGTACTCATGGCTAAACTGCAACTGGATTTGGTCTAGCAATGCATAAAGCATGGTATCAAGTAGGATGTCGCTTCCAGACTGAACACAGACAATTCTATCCGATGTACGATATTCTTCATTAATATATGAGCTGGTATAGCCTAGTGCTGGTAAATATAACTGACACCAGCATACTATTGTCATCAGTTACTTTACCAGCTCAAGTGACAGTAATTTGAGTATTAGGTCTGAAGATTCCAGACCTGGTGAACCATTTAAGTATCAGCCTTGCTTTAAAAGCAAATAAAATGCCATTGTAACTTACGAAAATGCCCATAAACCCTGAATGTGAAAGAGGCTGCAACATCAGACACTCAAAATTCAACTTGCTTTGGCAATCTTAGTTTAGCACATGTTGTCATGCTCTTCAAGGGATGTGATCACACTCCTATTCAAAGCCATTCATTATGATTTCAGAATAAAACATGGCCGAGCAAGGCAAAACAGAATCCACTCTTACTGTTGCAGTTGGAAGGTGCGCAACAAATGAAACAGATAATGTGATAGAAAAAAAAGTTTTAAGGCCATTCAGTGCTGTCACGGAATTGTTCTTTGTCCCTGCCTCTGCCAAAGAAACTTATCACGGTTGTGACCTTGTGATGAATGCTTCTCATTTTGGTGGCCTATTCAAGACCATGACATCTGATTTACAAATGTGTTGAGCAATTAAAGCATCGCATCATTCAGTAAGTCATACATCTTAATCTTGAAATATCCTAAGTGTTGAGTGGTTAATTGTAAGCGATTTTGTCAAAAAAGCTTTGGGTACAGCACATGGCAAAATATGTTAAAGGACGATAACTGATTTAGAAACTTCATTTCCACTTTTTTCCTACTGGTTCAAGGTTTCCTACAATTCTAAGGACAAAAGTTACAAACAAAAACGCATGTTCAACTATAGCTAGTGACAGCAGCAAGAAATTTCATGCCTCATGGACTCAGGCCCTGCCAGTATTCTGAACCAATCATTTCAACAACTCAGTGATCTATCATAAGATGTGTGTGGATAATGATTAAATTTAAACTTTAGTCTGACATTTTCTTGCTTTTGCAAGACTGAATCAAGCTGTTACTTTCACACCTTTTTGATATACACACATCATTATATAACTCAGTTTTGCTAAGGTCAAACGGGCTTCTTGTAATGAGAGAAGAAATACTTTTTATAGGCAGTTTGATTTTTTTTTTTTAAATATATCAAACAAGGAATTACTGATTGAAGTACATGAGAGCAGTCTTGAGCATTTGCTGTATACAAACTACAGTCATACTGTTTCAGGCTCATGTTGCATGAAATATGCTGATACATACCATAAAAACCATCAAGGCATATCCAAAATACCTCCTTAAGATATTAAAAAATGTCTTTAATTAACTAGTGTTATCAAATTCAGCAAGAAAAATGGATACTATCACAAAGAAATTACTCAATTGTCTAGCCAGTCCAACTTCTGAAGAAACTGTGAACTCCAACTATGAATATAGGTAAACTGAGAATGAAGGATGGATTCTGTACAGCAACAAGGATGCAAAAATAGCGTTCGTGTTCAGAGTATTAGAGCTAAGAGCTAGGTAATGGTGATAATTTCAAAACTCTGGCTTTAAAAACGCAAGCAAACATTTAGATTTACAATGATGAAACATAATTTCTTACAATTTGTGTCCTGAATTAGAATAATTAATTACAAAGCTACAATTTCAGAACAAAATACGGCTTACTATACAGCAAAACATTTCACCAGCTCATGGTTCTAAGTGCTACACTCCTTTCTAAGAGCATCGTCCCTTTTTATATAGACTATCTTCATGCTGAGGTCTCAAAATATGAGTTAAGAGTCCAGTTTTGGTCCTTTCCCTCATTGAGCAATACTTCTTTTTTTAAAAACTACCTGCTCTTCAAGGTGAGAACAGATGAACAGAGCCCACAGATAAGGCAAAGCTGTCATATGGTTTGAATACCTTACACTCCTCCACATGTTAACACAGGTAATGTTCAGTACAATCAAGCTAAGCATAAGCAAAAGCTACCTTTGCATTAAAAAACAGGCAGTCTAAAAAGCCCAACATAAATACCTCAAATATCTGCTCAAAATGCTGAAATTCCTGCAATCTTGTTTGAAATCCTTCAGCAAGCGCTCCACCTGTGAAACATAACGGACCATAAGGGAGAGAGCAATAAGATACACTCACTGCTGTGAGGTAAATATTTGTGTTTACCACATTTTATGATACTTTTCTGTATTTGAGGAAAAGCAAGAGTTTTACACACCACCCTCTGGCATTCCTTGGGCCTTCTGTCTCCTGGCACTCAGAACTTCTTTTGCTGAAACAAAAAAGATGCGATTCCTCGCTTCTACAGGATCAATAACTTTGAGCTCATCAACTAGAAAAGTCAGACAGCGCTCCATGTGCTGCCTACGTACCTGAGGAAGAGGTAAAAAGCTCATGAGAAAAATGCAAAAATTGAGCCATCATCAAATCAGAACATCAGAGTCAGAAACAGATGTTGGACAACCCCTTAGATAGCAGATGCCTTCTAATCCTACTGATGCAGCAGCTGCTTTTAACCATTTACACAGCCCTGGGAGCAACAATACTTTCTTCTACAACTGTCTGTATTCATATAAGCTAGATGCCATTGGAAAGATCTGAAGACCACACTGAACTGTTACCATCTAACACTGTACTTTGCCAGCTACTCTACGCATGTATACACGTATAATCTTGTACCCTCAGGCTGCATTAACATTACAGAAATTCAAGGTAATACAAAGAAGATTTAAAACAAGTTTAACTACAGAAGAAAAAGGTTCTAAATGAGCTTCCCATTGTATTACCTGCCTGCATATATTGTAGACTGAATTGCAGGTTGCTTTTTGCTCTGAACAAGGAATAAGTTATTTTCATTTTCTGAACAAATAACTTATATTTTTATTATTAAGACAATGCTGATGTTTTTATATTAGTAACTGTATCACTTACGCAATTCAGCATACTTTTACGCATATGAAGGCCTTTTCTGTATAATTTTTTTTTTTTTTTAAAGTCAACCCGAATAAAAGTCATCAAGTCACTCACATCTTCCATATATTCTGGTTCTGATGCAGAGGCATCCCATCTATTATTCAAGATGAAGATGTTTGGCTTGGAAAGTCGTTCATTCACTTTATGGAAAAAATGTTTTTCCTAAGAATTAAAGCACAAACAGAAAACTCCCCAGATATTCAAACTAGAGTCACGTATTCTTCTGTAACAGATTTTGAAGTTAATCCAACTTATTAAAAGTTTATTAAAAAGAATTCATTAGCATTAAAAACCACAGATATCAAACAGAAAAAAAAAGGTTTGTGGTAGTTCAAAAGTCATCAAATGTTTTAAAACTGATGCTAATGGTAAAAGTCAAAGACACTGCAAGCTTCTCTAAAAATAGGTACAAATACAAATTAAGAAAACTTCCAAACCAAAGTTTAGAAAACACTGGAAAAGCAGTCTATTTTTTCTAGAAATCTGTCGTGTCATTCACTGTCTTTTTTTCTCCTTCTTTCACTCTTACTATCATAAAATTACATCTCCCTTGATACTTCTAGCCCTCTATTACATTTGTTTGCAATTGTGTGACACTCAAAATATTGCGTGGGAAGAGAGAAGAACACACAAAACATGACTGTATCTGCTCATTTTGTTTTCTAAATAAGATGCCTGGCTAAAGATGTGAAGTCTTCCTTATTTGAACTACCAAGATGTTCCTGTTCACCCTGCCAAATCTCGTTTCTATAGTCAGAGGGTGTTTTTCTGAATATATTCTTCAACTAGGCAATGTCAGCTTCAACTACAGACAAGTTACCTTTCCTATATGAGTGTATGTGGCTTGAGCCACAGGAAAAAAATCATTGCTGAATGTTTTCATTTTAAAAATAAAACATGCATGTACCTGAAAATGTATTTAGGTCCCTTGCTCGTACCTACCACCCATCATTGCTATTTTCATAGTCATAACGGGTAAGTCGTGATGCAGTGAATCCCCGCTCCACACAGCTCAAACAGAAGAGATCTCTGTGCTGCCATAAGCTTTTTGAATCTGCAGCAGGACACCACATATTCTGAACACAACACTGGAGATACATTAGTCTCCATCTGTTGTGGAGTAAGTATGTGTAAACAAGATTACTGTTGCAGAAATCAGAACTTTGTCTAAAGAGAATTATGAGGGAATATTAGAAAAATCACGTTTATGCAAAAATCTGCAGTTGTGTAGCAGCTGCCAATATTGTCAAACCTGTTATGGTAGGAAGTAGAAATAGTGCCTAAGGAGGATAAGAACATAGTTATCATATGCTTTGCCTTAAGGATAAACTTGTGTGGATGAATAATGAAATTACCATTTGCCATAATGCAAAGCAAAATACAAATTTAGAGCAGTTACATAATTGTTACAGGCAACTTCATTTGTGTCTACCAAGATGAAAAAATTAGAAAGGAGAAAGAGTAAGAGAGCCATTTACCGAGCGAAAGCCTCAATCACAACCAAGATCTACTTCCTTTCTCTCCAATATACAACCTGGACACTGGTTACTTCCAGATTCTAACAGTTACAAGGTGTTCAGTGTTAAGTGACAATTTATAGGCATGGCAACCAAAAAAACTCAGCAAGACTTTAATGCTTCAAACAAATTGCAAGACTAACTTATTTCTATTTAGCAGCTTTCAGCCATGCCCGACAAGGAGCAAAGATTGGCCAAAAAATAACATTAAAAAGCAGAGTAGTCCTTCTGTGACTGGGTGTTAAGGATCAGACAAATACAAAATTAACAGAATCTTCCAGTAGACGTACAGCCTATATGTCTTTCCTGCATATCTACTATCTTGGTCAGATGCTTTTTAACAGTTCATTTCTCCTGAGCAAATGAGAGAACCAAATAAAATTTGGCCTTTCCTCTGTTACTTCATTACACCAAAGTGAGATCAGGCACACAGGTCCCTATAGTTTCCATGTTTCTATATAGTAATGAGGTGTTCACTAAAACTCAATCTTTTTTTCCTCTTCCTTTTTTTAATTAAAAAAATCCAAACCAACTGTGGTACGCACATAATGCAAACAATTTCTAGACTCCCTCCATACTAAAAGCCAAAAAGCATCCTTCATGTGAGATAATGGAGAAGATAAAGCCATAGTTGTGCCAAATCCTCTCTTCACCTTGGATGTTGTCAGATCCTTCTTTCCTTTTAAATCACATCTCTTTTGTATTTGAGTTTGTGGATTTGGCTCATAAGATGGCATGTACTGTTTTTAAACTCATTTTATGTTCTTCTCAGATTTCTACCAAACTATTCTAATTTGTCAGAATACAAGGAAACACTGCCTTTGTACATTCAGTTCTTCATTGTATTAAAAATTGCCTCAATAATTAGAGAGATCAGACACTGCATGTTAGAACTATGCTCAGAATAATGAGAGCATTGTCTACAGTAGGCTTAATAGTCTTCACGAGATTTCTCAGTAGCATTATACTACATTCTGGCAGTCCCACGTCCAATAACTTAGAAACCTTGTATCAATATTGCCTGCATTCACAATATTTAGTTTAGTCAAAATTGGAGGTAACTACAAACTTTAAGCAAATCTCTGGTCTTGTATTTTGAGTATCACAACAGCTCCTTTGGCCACCTTGTATGCTCTACTTCTAGGAGTCATACACTATTTAGGCTGCAAGGTATACAAAAGTCTTCTCTCTTGAAAGAGAGAATAGAATAAAGGTGTTAAAACATCTTCAGCTCTCCATGTTGCACAGAACCATGCAACATGAGTGCTTTTTACTAGCATCTTCAGAAGAAGAAACACAGTCCAATGAGGGCAATCTGTAGGGCTTGTCCTCAACACAAGGTGTATCAAGGGGATTCACCCTCTTCTGAGAAAAGAACACATGAGGAATAAGACAGAAATTCAATTTCCTTCACCTACGTTGTGTATTTTACTGAATTTCTGCATAAGAAATGTTCTATAATTTATTTCTTTGATAATTCAAGTGTCTTCAGCTGACAAATATCAACAAACTGTAAAGCAAGACAAGCGCTACATCATCCATTTATCAAAAAAGAAACTGAGACAGGAAGGACAAATGTTACGCTCAAGTCAGAGTAAGTAAAGCTGGTAAGAAACCTGGTTCTCCTTTCCCTAGTAAGGGATATACATTGTTTCCCACCTCCCACCCCCAAATCCTGCTCACGAGCCAGGTGCAATGATTCATGGGAGCTTCAGTAAAGGTCTAAGAGAAGCTATTTCAGTTATGGAACTCCTGAGTATTTAAATGAAGTAGTAACGTAAAATCATTGCACATCATACCGTGTTCATGAGAGTTGATTCAGAGTTGGCAACCAAGACAAACACGTCAGCATCTAAGCAGAATTTGTCAATCCAGCTGTCCAGTTCTGTAGTGACATCTGTGCCAGGGCTGTTGAGGAAAAAAAAAAAAAAAAACCACACACACTCCTATTTATCCAGCAAAGGAGTATTTGATTTTTAGAAACTGATAAAATAAAGGAGTGGGATTGCCTAAGAGTCCTGTAAGGAGATAAAAAGCTTTAGAGTGATGCTTAACTCAAACTTAGTGCAAACATAGCAAAAGCCAAGTACCATTTAGCATTTATCAGTCACTCACTTGCAGGACCATCTACTCATTCTAAAATGCAGTTTCTAATGAATAAATATGTAGAACACAATAGCCAAGAAAAGTGACAGGCAGTCTGTCAGAAATCCAGGCAGTCTTACAGAATGGTCCCACTTCCCATAATTCAAGCTTTTGATTAAAATCTGAAAGGACAGTTGTTCATAAAATATTTTTTCCATTAATCAAGGCCTTCTTTAAAGTGATACGCTATACAAGCTGTGCATAGATTTAATAACAAATTAAAATTAAGCTAAAACTACAGTGCTGTCAATTTTTCAAAAATAAGTGGAATATAAGCATTAAGCCATGTTTGCAACATCTCCACTACTGGTGGTTCTAATTTGTTCTATTTAACAGTAAAGCGATTATTTTCTCCTTACAAGTACCTGTTCTCTCACATTCCAGGTTGTTTTCTTTTCCCTTTACATTTCATCTTTAGCAACTGAGACTGTGCAGATCACATCATGCCTTATATCATATCTATGCAAGAATCCTTTCTGGGCTTCCAGCACACTTGTGCTATGTACATGTCCCCAACGAGATGGCACAACGACATAAGCTTAGAAGTCCAGCAGCGCATCAAACTAACCGGCTCCCTAGGCCAGCCGGGCTGGCTTTTCCTCTGAGTAACAGGACCTGAGCTTGCACCCAAGAACTAATAATGACAAACTCCCAGTGATTTCAAAGGTGCAAAATTAGATATGCAACAAAAAGCACTACAATTTATCAAAATACACTCTGGATGTTATTTTGCTGAATACGAAGAAATCATACTTACAAATTCACTCATACTTGAGTGAATTACTCACAAATTCAATCTATATTGATTCATACATTAGGTATAGTTCACCTAACCGTCTGAAAAAACATTACTAGGTCATACTTCAAAGTGGCCAGGAATATGGGCATTTGGCATAGACAAAGCAATAGCTTTCAGATTTCTTTAAATACACAAACTGTAGGCAACACCAGCCCAACACACAGGTGCACACAGCCAACACAGCCACAATTACACTTTGAGGCTACCCATTACTTTGATATGTAGGCACTGCAACTCTGATCAGAAGCTATTAAAAATGAAGCATTTAAAGACAGGAGAATGGCAAAAGGTTGCTGGTGCAACAACCCTATTCACACTTCCATACTGTTTGTTTTAAAGGTAGAAGTATCCTCAGCCAAAAGCTAGTCCCTTATTCAGCTCAATCACAAGACACTTGTTTGTTCCAACTGTTACAAGGCCAAAAATCAGTGGGGTGATGACAGGCAGCAGTATATACAAAAGAACAAACTCTGTGCTCTCGCTCAAAATAGAAAAAAAAAAGCGCCTTTCAACCTTTTGCAACCTAACAACCAAAACGCAATAAATCAGTAAACCAGTCTCTTTTCTAAAGACTATAATGGCTAATTTATTTTAAAAAATATATACTAAAACAGAAAACATACCTGTCCACTAAAACCAAATCATCTCTCAGAAGGGCACACTTTGACTTGGGCCAAAAGACATGGACAAGACAGCCAGCTTTCAAATCTTTATCCATGTGAAGTGCATGAGCAAGCTGATTGACTGTCTATAAAGAGCATAAAGAGAAAACAAACATGAATATGCACCACAAACAAGTCTGTAAACCAGGCTAATTCAGTTCTCAAGCAAACCTGGACAGGATCTATCTTAAACAGGATAGCAGATTTGATACTTCCTTCTGGTGAATCTTTGTGATTTTTTTTTTTAAGCTCTTAGATGCAACAGCATCTAAAGAACAAGTTGTGTTTGAAACCTAGACAGAAGTATCTCTGGAGCCACAAAGTGGTATCCTCTACAGGGCTAGAGTGCTTGATACTGAGCATCATTGTGAATTTGCCTCAGAGGTTTAACATATCAATGTGAGCAGTTAAATAACCTATGCACCATAAGGCCAAATGAGAGGCACATTCCAAATCCCTAACAAGTAACAGAATTTACACTTAGTCCTATTAATAAATAAAGAAATAAAGAAATCACTCAACATATGCTATACCACAATGAGACACACATTAGTTGTTTCTCTGAAATATCTAAGAAAAATTGAGAAGTAGACAATTTTAGTTTGTTATTCCCTCCTAAATAAGAACTTAAAAATGCAGCATGAGTTAGCCTTACACTTTTGTTAGACTTGAAATCGTTGTTAAAAGACAGATCTTTTGAGAAATAGTTACTGTGAAAAGTAGCATTAATCATTCAAAAACGGTACCTTGACACTCTTCTTTTCATCTGATCCTTCTGTCATGAGGTAAGCCTTATCTCCATCTGTCCCTTCCACACTAAGAAAGCAGTTAGTTGTATGGCCAATCCCACTGGGAAGTACCTTATCCCACAGCATCGCATTAATGACCGAACTTTTGCCGCTGCTCGTTCTAGAGGGATAGAAAGCAAAGGCGCTTGGAGCACAGTATAGCAGCTTTACACATACCCTAGTCTTGAACTGAATGCACCCCCCATTTAATTGTGTCAGATTCACATACTGCAAGCTGTTTCAGGTGATAGATCTTCAAGCCAGTACAGCATAGCTTGCCAGAAAAGAATAGGGAGTGCAGGAAAAGTTCATCTGACTAGCAATTCCAAAAACCTTTCTTGCTATCAACATTGCCTATACAACAGGAAAACCAATTTTCATTTGCATAACACATACTGGCTCAACAAGCCCAATCTGTACTAGGAGGGATTGTTTAGCTGGTATACCTCAATCTGTGCAAGGTACTTGTAAAAGACACTGGTTCAACTTTGCTACACCAGAAAAAGCATCTAGCATAAGAAGATGCCTTAGATCAACTTAAAGCAATTGCTAAATCACAGCATGTTGTCCCACATAAGGGGGCAGCCTACCCTCATCTCTGTGCCAGCACTAGCATTCCAGCAGAAAAGAACCGACTGAAAACATGCGTAACGTTTGGGCAGAACTATGTTCTGATCAGACAACAATTCTACATTCCCACTCACAGCAAAGCTAAAGGAATTCCAGAGATGCTGGAGAAGCACATGAGGAAAACGCTGCATGACAGGGGCAGGGAAGGACTACCCTCTATGCTAGCAATCAGTGGTGACTCCTTAAAATGTTTGTGAAATTACCACCTCAGCAACTTAACCTGTCTTTAGAGAAACATTTGATTGTTACCAGTCAGAAAAGAACTGCTGCTTCTGATAGAGTCTTCTAGGCATGAGGTGAGGTGCAAAAGGAACATCACTCTACTACTGCTTTCCGATAACATTTCAAAGCATTGCTGTCTGGGAATTCTCATCACACCCAGCCATGACAACTCAGAACAATTTAATGGGACAATCTCAATTGCATGAAAATTCCTATAGTAGGATATGTAACAATGTGCAAAAACCCCTCAAATTTATTTCTTGTGCATAATCCTTATAATGCAAATGCTGTTTTTAATAATGAAACTTAGTCTTGTCCTTATTTCAGAAGGAAAATGATAGCTAAATTAACCAAACCCCTGTTGATTAAAAGGAACCGTTCAACTCAAGAGTCTGCAAGAACTTGAAGTTTTCAGCAATGTCCTACTTTGCACTAACCCTCTACACCTCACCCATAAATATTTGAGGTTTAACTATTACACAACAGTATGAAGCTACATAGACTATAATTCATTTTTGAGCGACTTCTTCTGGAAAAAGTCCCATGCTCACTGTACAACAGTTTACCAATTTATTCAAAATGTCAGATGAAGAGTTAAATTCTCTTTTTCCTGCTCTGAACTTTTGCGCTCTGCAAAAGCAACTTTTATCTCACATCACAGCTTGTAAACGTATTCGACTTTCACCTTTGTGAAATATCAAGGCTGAGATATAACTATTTTCTTTATCCCAGATATTTTTATTGTGGGTTTTTGGGTTTTTTTTTTTTGTTTGTTTGTTTGGTTTTTTTTTTTTTAAAATAGCTGAAGTATTTTTAGCAAAGTGAAGGTAAGACCACTGTTGTACACATTTTTTCTAATACTATTACAGAATTTTTAGAACTAAAACATGAAGGTTCATACTCCAGAAAAAAATATGTAACCACATACTTAAATTTAAGCACAGAAAAATCAATCTTCCTGAAGGAAAGTGGACTAACAGACCCCAGACTAACCAGGAACCAAAAAAACATTTGAAAGCACTGGAACTGTAGTCTTTTAGAACGACTTCACTATTTTATATCTCACTTCATATTTGTTAAGGCAGATTTTCACCATCTTTCTACACCTTCCAAATTTTATAGGAACAGAATGGCACAATGTTTGGAACATAGACATTAATTGGAAGTGTTAAGACACAATCAAAATTTCTCAATGAAAACTTCAAACTTTTTCATTACAATGAGACTGAAATGCAAAACACAATACATACAAGCAGAAACACATAAAACCTCAGTGCTTTGGGCCTATACACCTGATAGCATCTCTTTAGAATACTTCTTATCTAGTTACACATTTTGGGTGCAAATACATTTCTTTTTAACTCCCTTTTTTCCTGACACCAAAAAAAAAAAAAAAAAACCAACAGCTGAGATGATCCCAAGCTGACCAAAGTTAAAATTTTTGAATACTGAAAATATGGGAGTTTTTTAGAACTGAAGTGAATTTAAATCACTCATAACTTTGGAAACACTATCTAAATATGCAAAAGGTTTAACACTTGGTCTGTAGTAATACCACCAAGGACTGTGAACTAAAACTTCTCCCAATTAGTGATTCAGGAAAGCAGAAATTCATAGATTCATCCAGATTGATCTGTAAGCCATACAGTACATTGTTACTGTTATCCCTTTATAATTATCACACTGATCTATTAGACTAATGATACAACCAATAAGGCAACCATCTGTGCCTGTTTTCCCTTAGCTGCTTATATACAGAAACATACACCGCTCAAAGTTCAGTTTTTCAGTACTTGTGATCAAACACAAAAGTTCTTAACAGCAATAGTCCAGTAAAACAAACAAAACCACCACAATAGAAAAAGAAAAGTAATTCTGAAGAAGATGACAAACCCAGATCTTCCCAAATCAAATAACTGATCTATACAGTATAATCATTTTTCAAAGTTTATCAATGAAAAATATGTAACAAGACATACATAATTAATCTACAGTCAGGAAGCAAGATGGCAAAGAAATATTTAGCATCAATTAAGTAACAGTGAACAGTTTTATGTATTTTTTAGAGAGTGTTTCAAACAATAATTCTACGATGAAGCACTAATTCCAGTACATTTAAATTAGAAACGCTAACATTAAGCCCTGCAAGAGGAAAAAAAAAAGATCAAATTAAGTTCTGGTAATTCTGTTCATTACCTGCCAAAAAATGCCACTTTCATGTGTCTCCGTGAAAGCACCTCACCGATGACTGCTAACTTATTTTTATATGCCTGTATTTTTGCTAGTTCGTCTTCTGTTGCTACATGTTCAAGCTCTGGGTTCCTGTATGTTGCTACACATAGAAAAAGAATAACATAAAAGCAATCACGTACAGAGTGCATGCTCTAGCACACAAGATCTAGATTATCAGTACTTTACATGCCAACAAAGATCTGTGTAAATTTTAATTAGACAGCGGTAAGAAAACAAAATAAAAACCCCGCTACAGACACTGATACTAGCCCTTGTCATCTGACAGCTCCACCACAAGCACTTGTGAAATCATCACATAAATTACAGCAGAGGAATCAACAACCTAACTGCTGGAGTCAGTAAGCCTGTGAACACAGTCTGCTGTGATCATCTGCGCTGCTCTTTGCAACACCTGCCTCCTTCAGAAAGGAAAGCCACGCCTGGATACTGCAGCTAGGCTTGGGCTATCTTCTCCCTGCAGAGCTGACTAGTGTGATGAGCAACCAGCTCCACGTGGCGACACACACGCCTCCACATTGCTAAAACTTCTGAGGGTGTAACCACTGGTTCTTGGTATTACATCATGTTGATCTATTTTCCTACTGAATAATGGGAGAACCTGTTTGTCCCTTCCTCTCTGCAAAAGAAACCACAACAGGAGGACTATAAACACTGGAGTGGCTAAGCTTTCACCCTCGTGGAAAGAAGATTAGGCTACCAGCTCAAGCCATGCAATCAGCTTTTCATAAACGTAACCATCCCA